CAATTTTAGACTTTCAGTGTGCTGGAGCAATCTCCCATTGGAAATCAGAGGAGCCCAAGGACTTTTTTTAATTACAATGGCTGCCAAGAAAATCTTTTCCAAAGGGGATTTTATAGCCTCTAAGAAATGCTAGATAACAGGGAAGCCATAGATAATGCCTCTAGTTTTCTGTGCTGGCTGCAAGGACGTATAGGAAGTGCTACTCCAGTGGTGTCAATGGAAGATCCCCTTCATTGTGGTGATTTGCTGGTGTCTGGCTAGGCCAGCTGTAGGGCAGCTTTGTGTTGGCTGTGAGGGACAAAGTGGCCACAATGCAGGGGATAAGGAGGCCCTCTCTTTTGTTGGGTAAGAATGTCAGTATCACAGATATAGTCTCAGAATTTATTGTATGTAAATAATATAAATGGTCATAGCCCAAAGAGCTGTTATTGCCATGGAGTTCAAGACTGAGGTGGTCTGAAGTGAGAGCTGAACTTTTCAAATTTTTTGCTGCCCAGTAGTTGGTAAATAGCTAGTCATAAAATAATAGTTAAACATGAGCTAAACACATTGAAGGTTTGAGTTTACCACACTCATTCATACTATGCAGGACATAATGGAGAGCAGTTTCAACATTAAGATGTATATTTATGGAAAAATATAATTTTAAGCTGTCATCCCTCCCCCCAGAAATAGCTGTTGGTTACCAGACATTGTGAGTGAACTGCTTACAACTCAGTGGTTAAAAGGCTTGTATTGTTTATGGAGAACAGTAGTGGGTCATGAAGCCCTGGCCCATTTTGAGTTTATTGGAATTTATCTGACCCATTTCAGTTTAGATGTTTCCATGCGATATGTCTGGGCCAAATATAGTAAGATCAACCTTCCTCATGATATAAACCAGGACAGCAGCTGCACACACACAATTTTTAATTGAACTTTTAATTGAAAATGAATTGAACTTTTTCAAAACTATGGAAAGATGTATGTGAAGTTTTCAGCTAGTTATTTTATCCAGTTGTAACTCATTTCCTAAACAATAGCCACTGAAATATATTGCAGTCACAGTGTGATACAGTTGATAAAGATGAGATCTCTGACATAAATGTAAAATGCATTAGTTGCTTAAAGAGTGACAGATCCAGACCTCCTAGCAACACACGATTAATTAACCCTGAGGTAAAAACCAGGTCTTGACAATTGTTGCTTGCACTGTGCTGAGCAGCTATCTATGGGAGTTGTGTTCAGCACCTTTCAGGATTGTAGTTTTTAAAACCACAGCAATTAACATTATTTTTTGAGGGTAAAAACATGGACTGAAACTCTTTCATTGCAGACATTCTTTCTTGTAGTAGATTTGCATGGTTCCTTTTAGTCAGTGGAATTTCAGTGGTGTCCCTTATCTGTAGAGACGGTCCAGGCTGGTATATGCAAAGTAACTCTAAATGGTTACCATAATCCAATCATTTTTGACAAAAGGAACTATCCAAGTTATGTCCCAGAAGAGAAACATTCTTGGAATTAATTTTAGTATTAAAAATCTGTCCTATTTCAATTTGGTGCTCACGACAGCATGTACAATAAAATACAAGCAAATTGAACTTGCTGTTGTATGCCGTCATAGTACTAAAAATGGGATTTTTTTGTGCTTTGCAGTGTTTTCTAGGTGGCAAAACATTTTATTGTCTGAAACTAAATAATACAATTTATTTTTATTTTAAAAAGTATTTGGTTGGGGATAGACAGAGAGCTAGAGAGAGGCAAGAGAGTGGAAAGAAGTGACACTAACACATTTTTTGTGTCAGTATTGGACAGATTACTATTTACAATGGAACATGTCTGACTACCCTGGAGTGAAGAATGTTCGTTTTCCTGATGGTCAGATTTGGAAGCCAGATATTCTTCTGTACAACAGGTAGGCACGTCTTCATAAAAAGAAAGCACAACTATTCCTTCAGCATGCCTCTGTGTTTGGTGCTAACATTTATTGTATGGAACACAAACATTATAGTATTTACACCAAGAAAGATGATGATGATGCAAATGCTTTACCAAAAGACATAGTTTAAGTTTCAGATGAAGTGTAATTATTATAAAACATGCAATGTTTATTCATGTAGATGGACACAATTTCCCCCTGCCTTTGGCTGAAATATCACTCTTTTTGAGGTAGATAAATTTGAGTGCCTGAAGTCTAGCTTTACTCTTTGTCTGGCTATGCTGGAAGAAGGCCAGGAGATATGCTTTAATTAAGCCAAACCTTTATTCCTATATGTCTTGGAATACCTGGCAGATAAAAGTGTACAGTGTAGGCAGTCCATAATAATTTACAGATACCTGATGGTAGGATTTACATATACCCATCTTTTATCCATCCTCATCCCACCAACCTGCTGCTGGAACCCCATCATGACCCTCCCTCAAATGAAAGATAAGGAGGGGTTATGAAGGATGGCACAGGTATGGCTTCCAGCTGTAACAGCCATAGGAGCCCCAACCCATTCTTATTCCCACTCCTTTAAAGAGTATTTCCTCTAAATTCTTTACAGATCCATTTAATCAGATTAGTTATATTCCTTCCCTACTGAGTACTTGCACGAGGCATACTCCCCAAGCCTGCATCATGAGTTGTGACATCAAAGCCTAGCTACATTCTATTTCATATTCACCCCAGCTCACTTTCCAATTTGAGGTGGGAAGACAAAAACCTGCCACCATGCCTTGACCAATCTGGTACTGAGGGAAAAAGTCCTTTCCAGCATAATTAGCACAGCACGTAATAACATAACTACACCCATTTTCTACTCCACCTGGTCCAGGTGAAAGAGGGCTTTTCCTGAACTAGTATTGATCTAAATGGACCCCCCTCTTCTCGTCACTGGGGGGAGGTCAGTGTCTCCCATCCTAACCTGGGCTCAAGCTGCAGTGGCTAGTCACTCTGGCTCTCCAGCCCTTGAAGGGGCCACACACCTTTCCCGATAAGCCAGACAATGTCTCCCACTTCTTGATGTGCAGTGAGTTCATTTTCTTGTCCAGTGCTGCTGTCCTTGCTCCCCAGCTCTAGGAAATGTTAGCACGCCTTTTAAGATACTGCTGCTGTCTTTGCTAAACAGTTAACTCTTTAGTTCTTTTAGGGGTGGGCAGGTAGATAGCAGTGGAGATTATCAATTGCTCACTGAAGTGAGTCTGGGCAGCACTGATAAATTCTGCTCTTGCATCTTTGTCTGACAACTTCCTTTGTGGGATTTGCTTAATAACAATGGTGATACTTTACTACTCTTGGGGTATATCTAAATTACATGCCTCTGCCGACAGAGGCATGTAAAATAGGCTAACTTAACATAGTCCATGAAGCCGGGATTTAAATATCCCCGGCTTCATTAAAATAAAAATGGCTGCCGCACTGTGCCGGCTCAGCTGATTGTTGGCACAGCACGCGAGTCAAGACGCGGATTGGTTGACAAGGGAAGCCTTTGTCGACTGCTCCCTTATGCCTCGTGAAATGAGGTACCAATCCCGCTTCATTGACTATGTCGGGTAGCCTATTTTACATGCCTCTGTCAGCAGAGGCATGTAGTCTAGACATACCTTTGGTTTTTAAAACATATTTTATGCTCGGTTCTACACTAAGCTATGTAAGTGCCAATTTGTGTATTTGAAAGTGTATTCTGTGTTGCATAAATGGGCTAAAAACTAAGATGCTGAAGCAAAATTAGTATAACAGTATTTTTGTATGAGCTCTTCTGTGAAAGAAAACTATAAAAGTTTAAAAAATATTACATACAAATATTTCCAGAAAATGTTCAGATAGGTTCACTCATAAGGGCATAATGAAACTTTCATAGCAATCTTAACTGTGGAATCACTTTTCTTTATGACGTTTCCGGTAGCAAGTCTCATAGTTGAATGAGCCAGCTAGGACATTCAAGACTTAATAACAAGAATGTCACCTATTGGTAAATATACTGTAAAACCAAAAGCCATCTAAACTTTTTAAATAAAAAGTACTAGATTGCATCTGTGATGCATACATTTGTGCATCCCAAACACAATACTCACAAACATCTGTTTGTGTACAGTCACTTATTTGTATGTGCAGATTTTGTGTGTACAACTCAGATGGTCATATTTGAAAATTTGTCCCCAGAAACTCAATTTCATACTTACAATAACTGCTGTACAGCAGAATTACAACTTCCAATAATGTGTGTGTGTCTGCGTGTGATATAATCAGTGCCATATGTTATCAGCTAGTTTGCTTATAAATGTCACATGACCAAACAATCATGAGTATGTATAATAAACAGTTTTTTAATGTTACATACTTTAAAGTTCATGTGCCAGGCTACAAATATCCATCCCTACTAATTTTTGTGTGAAACATTTCTGTGCTGGCTCAGTTTGCCTACCTTTAAAATTATGATTACATTACAAAGTTTGCATGGTATTTGCCTTAAACAATGGGTGAGAGCATGAAGAAAAGCAATTTCAATTATTTAAAAGTCTCTCTCTGCAGACATTGAACATCTTTAATTTAGTTCCTCTGATTGGCACATTCCTCTTTGTGTCAAAGTCTGCTGAATGAAAAGAAAAACTATCAGTGCATCGTCAGTATTGTTTTCTGCAGGGCAAAATAATTAAAGAACGTATCAAACAAATCTTACCTTTTCTCTGTCCCTATTTTGGTGTAGAATAATTATAGCATTTTTAGCGTCTATAATCATTTCACTTGCAGTGTTGGTGAACTTGCATACATGTTCACATGCATCTCCACATGTGTTGTGGAATCAGATATGTGGCCTGCATATTCAAGGATAGTAACAACTGATGGTACAGCAGTACTTGCCTACACACAGTATCTGAGAGCAGGATAAAGCCAAAGGCTTGCTGTAATATTGCCAGGTTGTTATAATTTATTTTCACTCCTCTGATTACTGATCTTGCTCATCTGAACTAACACTGTTCTCATTTCAGTCTCAGATGTGGTCTTTGCATAATTTGCAAATATATTGTGGATCATATAATGGGAAACAGTGAATAATAATTATTCAGATTAAATATGTATGCTGTATACTCATTCTTTTCCGGAATGGTACCTTAGAACAAAGGACATGGGAAAAGAGTATTAAAATGTTTGCCTACTAAGGAGGGGATATAATAAAGATCTATAAAATCAAGACAGGTATGGAGAAAGTGAATAAGGAAAAGTTATTTACTTGTTACCGTAACATAAGAACGAGGGATCACTTGATAGGTAGCAGGTTTAAAACAGACAAAAGGAAGTATTTCTTCACACAGTGATAGTCAACCTGTAGAACTCCTTGCCAGAGGATGTTGTGAAGACCAGTACTTTAACAGAGGTCAAAAAAGAATTAGCTACATTCATGGAGGTTAGGTGCATCAATGCCTATTAGCCAGGATGCACAGGAGTGGTGATCCTGGCCTCTGTTTATCAGAGGCTGGAAATGTGTGACAGGAGAGGGATCACACGATTGCCTGTTCTTTTCACTCCTTTTGGGGCACCTGGCATTGCCCCTGTCGGAAGACAGGATACTGGGCTAGATGGATCTTTGGTCTGTCCCAGTATGGCTATTCTTACGAATAGTACAAAAACTAGAAATGGAATGAGGAAAGCACTCAAGCAAATACTTATGTGCAGGACTCACCAAGCGACGGTGAGCCCTACTCGCCAGCCGCGCGGTTCTGCGTTCTGCACATGCGCAGATCGCTCTGCACCGGTTCTTCTGGGTTGTAATCTACTTGCCACAGGCGAGTAGATTACATTATTTGTAGAGCCCGGCTTATGTGCATCCCTATTTAGGACAGATGCTTCACTGTACACTCATGCTTAAGTGTTGAACTGAATAGGGCTGCCTTCCTGAACTGGAGCCTGACTGATGAGTTGAAAGAATGAAATGAAATCAAATGAAACAAAAAAATGCTTGACAATGTCAGACTGCTTGCAGGCACAAACATTTTTTCCGCCCTCTGCCCCACTTTGCAATAAGAATCAGCAACTGGTAAGCTGGGACTCTGGATCATTAAAATAGCAGCAATGTATACTGGTTGCTGAAAGGGCAGAATGAGTGCAAGGCTACAACCCAGTCCTTCTCTTCAGCAGTGAGCAGAGTAGATAGCATCCTTCACCTCACTGAGGATGTATAACTGTACTGCCTGGGAGACCACGCAAAGAACGCAGCCTGAGGATTCTGATTGCAGTGTTGTCCATCTGACACTATTAGGGTCTAATATATTAGCACATTTGTATTTGGTTTGATCTAGTATGTGTGTGTTGGGTGATTATACTTTTTTAGAATTTAGTGTGTGTATAGAATTATCCATTTACATTGTATAATCCTGTGTTTCAGTACAGAGACTGTTCTGGACTCATGTGTTATGCTATTAGTTTGAGAAATGTCTCCACTTTGTTTTGAAATGCAGATGGGCACTACATTGAAGATGGCCAATAGCGCAAAATTCTAATGGGATTGACAGTGTCTCTTTAGGAGTGAACGTCTCATTAACTGAAACCCAACAATGGACAATATTACCAACACTATTACAAACCATTTTTGAGGAATTGGATGTTAGTAGCAACTCATATACTGTTACCAACAGCTGTAGCCCCCATTGTCATGGTTTTTTCCTGTACTAGTAATGACACTAGCAGTAGGAAAGACTGCACGGGAGCAATAGTTTTTATTCTCCCCCATGTCTTTTCTCTGTTTCTGTATTTGAGAGAGCACATTTCTGACACCATTCCTGTTCAACTTGGAGCTGTGTTTATTATAGTGGTGCAGCAGTGCTACATTGTTTGAGTTGTCACAACTTCTGTTAAAGGTTGACCTTTTAAAGTCTTCTAACAGTAGGCATTCCAGAGATACAATCCCTCTATTTTCTTCAAAATACCCATTT